GCCTGTAATGTTTGTGTGCGATGGATCGTTGGTTCTGCTGCATTCCATTTCCGTAACTTTTTGTCGGCTGACATTGGAAAACCTCCTCCATAAATATTATGCTATTGTGACCGGGCAATATATTGGAGAGACTTTTGACTTCCCCATCATCCATCGATGTTTGAGCCATGTAATGAAAAATGCCAAAGACCTCTGCAAAAAAACGTAAGCATTATGTTTGGGCATATGAATTTTGTTGGATACCTTTTTAATTCATTTTACTGATTTATAAATGTTTTAATAGTCTATCTATTGATTGTATTCGCTTTTATTTTACGAAGCCTCTGGGACACTTAGATCCTCAGTTAATAATCTCTTAACTGTCCTACGAGTCCAAACTAAAACTCATGGTGAGACTTGTAAGTTTATCTGATGATCTGAGGTCCACTGCAAGCTTTCAAATATATAAAAGTAGGCTTTACACCAGTGTTTTTTCATTAAACCTTGTATTCAATCTTATTACCAAATATATTATAATTTTTTGTGCATATGTTATTAATGTATTAATACATTTAACTTTTTATACATTATATATTATTTTTTGGGGATGGGGGGAGGTGGATTGGTATTGTGTGTATTTTGATAGATTTATGAGGATCTTTAAGTAATATCTTGATCCATTTCTTGCAGGACTCCTAAGCATTACAAATTTGCGATGCATACTTTTGGTCTGCTCGCCAGTTGCAGTACCCTGCAAGAATTAGATGAGATCCTCACAAGTGCCACAGTAGTGTTCTCCTCTCCTTCTCAAGGACAGCAGGTTTTAAAACGCTTAAGAAACCTTCAGGAAATGATGAGGATGTCTGCCGCTGTGGAGGATGTCAAGGTTCTTATGGAAGACTACAAGGTAACAGTAAACAGTAAAGACACTCATAGAGTGTGATGACAAAGGTGTTCATTTTTATATGTAATGGATTGTGTTCACGTGAGACATCACAACATTAGAAAGAGCCTACATTTTAACATAAAGGTGGAGGGCAGGTACACTACTCCATGCTGGGTAAATGTCAACATGCAGATTTTTATACTTTCCCAGTTATCTCTTGGCCAATCCACATGAAATAAAAATCTTTATTTTAGACATATATTTTCTCTGTTACCACATATGAAGAAACCCCTATTTATCTGCTCATTAAATGGAGACAAGAGATTGTGTGAGGTTTGTGAATCACATCACTATCAAATAATAATCCAAAACTTTATTGTTTTAGAATGACCTGTGTGACACCCCATGGATGCAACATTTCACTGAAGTGATCGAAGGAGCACCACTTGATGTTGGTGGAGATGGAAACATATTCTACTCGCCAAATTTCATCCCGAGCTTGTTGAGATACTTTTTGCCACATGCGCCTCTGTGGTCTGGATTAATGCTTGGTAAGTGTATTGTAAGGTTTAAAGGAATAGGCCACCGTTTTTACATACTGACATATGTTCTTACCTTACCTTAGAATAGTTGATATGTACCTGTCTGGTCTTTGTCCGTGCGCTCTGTCATGCAAACGGAGCACAAACGCAGCCTCTTCAACATACTGTATAGAAACAAATCATCATAATTTTTTTTTTTTTAAGTATCTTTGTTCATGTTTGCCTCTTCACTTTTGAAATTGGTCTTGGGTTACTATGCTGTACCAGAAGAGAAACACTGGAGCAGACAATTAAGAGCTGGATATAAAAATTTTCTGATAATTCTGGAATATAACCTTATAGGTGACATTGGTCGTCATGGCACTGGTCCTGCCTATAAGCGCTTTAGCAAGCTGCATCAAAAATTCAGCCAACGCTCAAACCAGGTTAGTTCTGAAGACTTTGTGCCTATTATCTTGAATTTTTATTTTTTTTTGTTAACTCAACAAGCACACTAAATTTCTTGCAGAACTTCACTCAAGACAACCGAACGCAGGGGATAATGGAAAAATCTCAATGGGACTTGAAAAAAATCAGATTCCACAGAAGACGGGTCACACGTCTTGATGACTTTATAGTTCGGTACAAGGCCATGCATGACGCCCTTCTCAGGGAATATACAGACTCGAAAGTTGTCGCTAAAAAAGTAAGTACATTTCAACGTTCAATACATTTTCTAATTGTGACATGATACAAATTTCGATAAGGTCCCCCATCTCCTTTTGTTCAAATGGTTTTTGAGTTCTTCATTCCCTAGAAGGGGGGTTTCAGAACAGGGAATGCTAGCCAGGGAATACCCAGACTGCTTACGCAGGAAGGTAAATTCCAAATTCTCTTTTGATCAAGCTTGAGTTGAACATGTATTAAATGTAAGAAACATGTAAGAAAGTCGTCGGACACACTCCATACAATTGACTGTGGTTACTCAGTTGCATATGATAGATTAGTGGCCAACAAATGGCTAAGGACAATAGTACACCAAACCTGACCGTACCAGAAAATTAGTTTTGTCCTCAAACCAAATATTTACTTTAGGTATTTAACCCAGATGCGCTAGACAGTCTAAGTGGATGCTAGTGACATTAATTAATTGTACAGTATGATAATTTTTATCCATGTGTTTTGTCTGTATTTGGAAAACACTTTTAGGCGACGTTGTTTTAGTCTTTCCATATAAATTGAATCAATCAAAGTTTATGTTCAACCAGTGCTCTCGGTCAGTCATTCAAGAGAGAACTTTAACCGATCTAAATACAATATAATCCACATACTGTATCAAAGGTGGACCAGGTTACATTGACCATCTCAGAATCAGAATAGACTTTATTGGCATTGTCAATGAGGTTATAAATAAATTGGATTTTTTTCCATTTTTGTATTTCAAACAATCAAGACGGAAGAGATGGATCTTTGGCCATTTTAATTTTTTGGTTTCAAACATGGCACTAGATTAAAAACTTGGGCACCTGTAACTCAGGTTGCGTGAAACTGGGACATTTGATGGTTTCACAGAAAATAAGGTGCATGGGGCATCAGGCTTAAATTTTGGACTGTAGTGGGTAAACTGGGAAGTCTAAACTTGTATATCTGCAATTGTCCATCTTTGGATTCTTCACCTGCACTACAATTTTGTCCTTGAGTCCTTAACAATTAATATAAAGAATTTGAAAATTTGAAAGTTTGAGAGATTTCTACAAAGTTTCATCTGTGTGCTTTTTTTAGCGCTTTCGAGTGGACACGGAGAAGTGGAAGAATAAAAGAAGAACCCGTAAAGGGATTTATGTTAGGCCATCTTTTGTCAGAGCCAGGCATTCTCCAAACAACAAGACTTTGGTACCTAAAGAAGCACTAAACCCCATATCAACCTTTTCAGCTCATAAACTACTGAAGTTGTTGTCTCATAGACCTGCCTACAGGTCCATGTCACTATTTTGTGATGTTAGGACATATTGGTAGAAATCAGAATTTATAGCTAAGAAAAAAATTTGTTGTTTTGCTCCCTCTTGAGTTTGAAATATGTAAGTGATTTTTAATGATCCGTCTCAATTGACCCTGAAAGATACTTTGATTATTCTGCTCCAATGGAATCCTCTACACTAAACAAAGTGCTTGCTAGATCTGGGAGTTTTGGGTCAAAATCAGTCCATCCATTCATTTTCTTCCCCTTAATCCATTTCTGGGTCGGGGGGGGTGGCAGTCAGAGCTGCACCCAGTACACAGAGCACCAGCCCCTCACTGATCCTCCTGCAGGTGGTGAGTCCACAGGAGCTGAGATCTTTCAGTGGGGGCTTTGGGCAAAGTGGGGTTAAGTGTCTTGCCCAAGGACACAACGACAGCAGACATCAGTGGGAGTTGTGAAGTAGGTCTTACAGTGGGCTCGTACCCACGACCTTCAGGCCCAAAGGCCAATGCTCTACCAACTTAGCTACTGTCGCCCTCAAAATCAGTGTTTATCTCAATTATTGTGAAGAACTTTACTTTTTTTCTCAGGTAAGCCTTTGGTTCGGATTCATTTATTTCCCATTTGCAGTAAAACCACATTAGAATACATCTACAAAAGTCCCCAGTGTGCATAAGACAAGTACATAAATAAAACGAGGTTAAAAGTACAGGAATAAGACAAAATGGGAAACAGTTGACACTGTGAAATCGATCAATGTGTTGAGGCCTTGAGGGCGACTACACAATGCCTGCAGTACACAGACAGCTGGTTGTTGTGCCGTGGATTGAATTAATTCTCCTGTAATAGTGCAACATTTGTGTTTATCATTTTTATCAGGCCTGAAAAATGTATCTTCCTTACCTGTGTATATAGAATAAGTCGATATAGTATTTATTGTGACAGGTCTTGACCTAATCTGGACATTCATATCTAGAGCTCATTAATTATCCCAACAATTATTTTTTCCGCAAGGCGAGCCGTTTTTTGCTTCATTTCAAACAGCTCTTCAAAATGCAATTAGAGATATTACTCATAAACCAAGTAAAAAATTCTGCATGTTTATTACCCATCACGGAATGTGAACCTGCCCTCCACCTCAATTTTTAACTTTTTAGAATGTTGTGATGTCATATGACCACACCCTATTGTCTAGATTTTCAATTTTATTTGAATTTAATCAAAAAACACTTAGGTTGCTATACTTGAAAAATATATTCTAATATCTAGACTGGGTTGGACCATAAATGTTGTCGACCTCCAAGCAGATTTAGTTGGAGACCTCTGTCAGACTGTCTCAAAGAGTGGGACAATCATCTTTTTTCAAATGAGCAAAAATCCTTGACTGGGTTTCCCTTCTTTTCAATATTTTAGAACTTTCTAATGAAACAATATTTTGATGTTTTTAACAGATTGCACCACTGTATGGCATCTATACTGCTTTGAAAGAAAAGAAAAACGACACAGATCTTTGGTAAGGATATTTTTTGTAAACGTCAGAGGTTTCTACATAAACAAGAACACCTAATATAAGCACTGACATAAGACTGCCATCATGAACTGCAGTACACATTAATTTCTTTCTTGCTCTCTCAGCTCGTGGCTACAAAAAGTAATGACGAACCAGCAGGAGGCCCTGCCCTTCAGTCAAAGGTATACACCATGTGTTTGTGTGAACTCAGTCATGGTTTACAGGATCGTAGTTTGGTGTGTGAGGACTCATGGCTTTTATGAAGCTCCAGTAAATGTCAGGAAACATACAAATGAAAAACAAAAAACTACTATTCTATGCAATCAATACAAATTCAATTACTAAATTGCATGATTATGAAAATGGCATAATCACTATGAAACTATTTTGAACGATTATTAGTTTTTGGTTCTTTTGAAAGACAAGTTCAGAGGTTTTACCTTGTTAACATGTTTTGGCTTCAGAGCTGCGAGCCATCTTCAGAACGATTTTGAACGATGCTCTGTCCATTCTAACCGTGGACTTCGGAGAAGGCTGAGTGTAGATCTGTTAGTTTTACAGTTCGTAGCAGTCATTTTGATCACTGCACAAAATACTATAGTTGGCAGCAGTTGCTAATTTGAGCTTTAACCAGTCAAGGCTGCGACAGAAGCTATGAGTGAATCACACCTAAAGTAGAAAAAAACTACGAGTATACGAGTGATGTTGTCATGCCTGGGGTTTTGGTAGGTTAAGTGAATATTTTAAATAAATAATACGTGTAAGTAGTAGTTCTATGATAGGCAAAACATAGTTCACAAACAGGATTGCTTCTCTGACGTTGTATCACATCTGTGATTTACATAAACAGCCCTAAAAGTCTGAATGCATCAGCTGTTGCCTACAGTTTACTCAAACATCTGTTGAAAATTGCGGTGGAAACAATAATCGCTCCAATTGGCCACTAGTGTTTGCATTATAGTTTGACAAATAGTTTCTCTCACTCACTCTCCTTTTCTTACTTTCAGTTCGTGGCTCCAAAAAACGCTGAACCAGAAGAAGGCCCCGCTCCTCATTCAAAGGTATATTCAATGTGTATTTGTGGAAACGTATTCATGGTTTAGAGGGTCGTAGTTTGGTGTGTGTGTGGCTTTTATGAAGCTCCAGTAGTCTCCTTTTTCTATCCCACCCTCTTGAAAGTGGACTCAGGAGATGGATTAAGTACTACTTGTGTTCTCTCTCTCAGCCTCAGTCTCAGCTCGTGGCTACAAAAAGTAATGATGAACCAGCAGGAGGCCCTGCCCTTCAGTCAAAGGTATACACCATGTGTTTGTGTGAACTCAGTCATGGTTTACAGGATTGTAGTTTGGTGTGTGAGGACTCATGTCAGGAAACATACAAATGATGATTGCTTACGGAAAACACAAAAGCTACTGTTAGGCTAGTGCTATTAATACAAATTCAATTACAATAAATACATAGCAAGATTATGAAAATTGAATAATCACAATGAAACAATTAAGGATTCTCTCACACCTGATACTCTCTATGGCGCAGATTGTGTGACTGAGGTGTGGCATAAGCACTGTTGCTGGTTTGTAAAAACAAATCTATACAATCATTAGGGCTGAAGATATGGATGCCATATCTTAATATTCATACCAGATATATTGATACGGTACGACTACGGGTTCCGTTATGAGTTGTGACTAGTGTGCAAGCTTGGTTTCCCAAAATACCGCCCTCCTATTTTTGTCATTGGTTGGCTGACCATAGTGGTGCATTCAAGGGAAATGTTTAACCGCCTCGCTTCATAATAATCTAATCTCATGTTTTTTTTTAATACTTTGAACAGGATGAATCTGATATCAGTGAAGAGGAGGTATCGGATAATATTGGTGATCCAGACTATGTTCCTCCCTCTCAATCTGATACCGAAGATGAAGCGTCAAATAGTGCAAACTCTAAATCAGTGGTTGCGGAAGCATTTTGGCTGTATCATCCCGTGGACTTGGGTGACACCAACAGCGACCTTACCAAAGGAGAAGATGACACAACCACTCTAGCTGCTGCAGGACGGCATAATTTTTGTTTTGTTTGTAAAAAGGCCTGCCACAAACTTGCTCGGCACTTTAAAATACATATACATGAAGATGCTGACATAGCACAGGCTCTTAGTTTTCCTTTAGGCTCCAAACAGAGAAAAAAGTATCTTGAGCAACTTCGAAACAAAGGAAATTTCATGCACAACTGCAATGTAATGAAGTCTGGCAGCGGTTCACTAAAAGTTAAACGAAGGGGCAATGGTTGTATTAATAAATATGAGTACTGCATCCATTGCAAAGGAATGTTTCTGAGAACAGAGCTTTGGAGACATATAAGAAGATGCACCTCTAAACCTACAGACACTGAACACTGCGGCAGAAAACGAGTACTTGGTATAGCCTCAGTGGTCAAGTCGACATGCTCCAGCTTCATTGGTGATGGGTTGGCAAAGATGTTAAGTCGCATGCACGATGATGGAATTGCAAGTGTAGTTCACAATGATTTTTCCCTCTCAATTATGCTGAATCCCTTTACACCAAACATGGACATGACCCCACAAAGCATGACTATAAAATTTTACAGTCTATAATCTAAAATTGGATATTTATAAAAAAGACTACCCGTCACCCTAATAACCGCTAATCATAGTAACATTAAATGTATAAATGGGGACCGTGTTTCCATTTCCCTTTTGATCAGATGTCACACTCAACCTGTTGGTAAAAAGCAATCAGGGAAACATTAAGTTAAAATCAGTTCATTTTCTATAGGCCGCAGCATTTTGGACAAGTTTTATCACAGAACAAACATGAACAAGGCAATGTAAAATAAGATGGTTAATAAATACTCAAGAGAAAATGACCCATAAATAAATACACTACTTCTAGATACAGATAATTAGCTGTTAATCAGAATCAGAATCCTTTTATGTTTACCATTTAAAAAGAAGTCACAGGCGAGGAATAGCTTATTGTGGCTCTCAGTGCAACAGTCAAAAAAGGAGAGCTAAAGAATAGATTAGAAGGTGCATTCAGACCGGGAACATGCATCAATCTGCTTTCAATGAGCAGGGGTGCCGCCAGAAATTCTGGGCCCTATGGAAACAAAAATTTCTGGGCCCCCTACATTTTTTACAGATAAAATGTAACCCAATAAACATGCCCTGTATACTTTAAAAAAGATACTTAGCACATTGCATAGTTAAAATGTCTGATGAGTAAAAGCCTACAAAAACAAGAAAAAGCTATGGAAATATGTACTTGTTTACATAAAAGGAGAATATTTATTATCTCAATTGCAATTGCAAACACAGCAGAACATAATGTACACATATTGGACATATACTTTACGTGAACAAGCTTTAACTGGGTCCAACTGCTCAATCAGGAAACATCAGCTACAACTAACCCATAATTAAATCAGTCCAAGACTAAAACTAGGCCAAAAGGGCTCAAAATCAAGACACACCAGGAGTAATGCCAGGCCTAAACCAGTCCAGGACTAAACAAGTACTGAACCAGACATAAACTGTTTGTTATCCAGGTATAACAAGTTATGTTCAACATCACTTTATAATGGCCCAGCGGCGTGCCTTTCTGCTGGCAAAATCATGTATCAAATCATCAAAGTTCAGCTTTCTTGCCAGTTTGCTTTCAATGGACAGTATGGCAAGGTGACAAAGTCTGTCCTGCAACATAGCAGTCCTAAGATAATTTTTTATCAGTTTGAGCTTACTGAATGCTCTCTCGCCACCAGCAACGGTCACAGGCAATGTGCAAAATATTCGCAAAACTATGCAGACCTGCCCAAAAATACTCTGCAGCTGCATCTTGTAAATGCTGTTGAGCAGATCAATTGGTGACAGACACCCTGGGAAAGTGGCCCTATATACAGAGTTGAGGTGTCTGACTTCATCTTCAAATTCACAAGTCAGATCAGTGTTGTATTTTGAAATCAATGGCTGGCATACAGAATGGATTTGATCATCACGTAACTGGCCCATTTTTACAACTACAGAAAACTGATCCAAGATCTCAGCTGTTGTGGCAAACCTGGTACTTAAAGGACAACTCACCCTCAAATCCACTTTTTTTTGCTGATAAACGGTATAAATGAGTGTCCAATAGTGTTGTCTACATATCCTGGTCATAATCTTGTCACTTTGGTGCAAATTAGTTGAAAGTTAGACTTTCTGCCTAAAACCGTCCGTGAGGCGCCATCTGCTGGCGACCTGTATTACTACATTTGAATTTTGAATCTGGCGCCAACACTGGCACAGAAGTTGGACCTGACGTCTGCAAGTTGGACCTGACGTCAGCAGCCCCCCGCCCAGAGCAATATAAACGGCCCAGTCTCGTTCACGCCCCCTTTAGTCCTCCAGGCTACGCCCATTTAGAGGAAGATTTGAACAGGAAATGTGAGTAACGTAAGCTCCGAGGAGCGGGGGTGAGAACCACTTTAAGTCACTGATTATGTGGTCCATCATGGGAAGAAACACTGTGTTTCTGAATATGGTGTCTGCACTGTGTTCCCTTGCTCCCTCTACCTCTGTCTCATCGTGAAACCGTTTTCTTTTCCTCTGGCGGCTGAATCCTGACCTGAACAGAGGGTTAATGTTCATCTGTTGTGCAACAAGTGATGCTTCAGAAAAGAAACTCTCCCATTCATCCCTCAGATGTTGGATCTCCTCCTGCAAAGCTCTGATATTTTCTGCCTCTGTCTCAAGAGTTAATTTCCCTGACTGGAGAATAATATTCCTTTTGTCAATGGCTTGCAGAACTTTGACCCAAACAGTCAACAGAAAAACAGTATCAAAAGTTTCAAAATACTTTTTTAGGCCGCTGGCTTCAGACCGAGCCTCTGGTGTCAGACTGCAGGTTGAGAGGATGGCATCAAGAGCTTCTAGGACACTGGGCAGGTGCTTGGCTATAGGTTGAACAGCCTTAACCCTTGAACTCCACCGAGTGTCTGACAGACGATGTAAAGTGCAACCCGTTTTTGCCTTAAAGATGGCCCATCGCTCTGGGCTGGCACTAACAAGGCCATAAAGACGATTGACAAAGCCAAAAAAGTTAGTAACCTCTGGACTTGATTGAGCTGCATGCACACCAACAAGGTTCAGAGTATGAGACGCACAAGGGGAAAAAGTAGCCAGCTTATTCTTTTTTAATAATTGGGCTTGAACCCCCTTAATTTTTCCAGACATGTTTGCCCCATTATCATAGCCTTGGCCCCTGCAGTCATTCAGATCTATGCCGTGACTATTAAGCACATTTACAACCATGTCTGCTATCTCACTTCCTGTTTTTTTGTGAAAATCTTTAAACTCCAAAAACCTTTCAACAACCTCCCATTTCTTGTTTTCTTGATCAAAACCTACATATCGTAAGAGCAATACATTCTGCTCTGTATGTGAAATATCCGGAGTAGCATCGCAAATGACTGAATAATAGACTGATTCCTCGCTTTCCTTAAGAATACTACTTAACACTCGTTTTCCACATAACTCAATAAATTCGTTCTGAATATCTGAGCTTAAATAGTGTGTCAGTCTTGTTCCTGTTTTTTTGTCTCTGACTTTTTGTAGATGTTCGTTGAGTAGTGGGTCATAATGGGACAGGAGCTCAAGGGTGCCCAAGAAGTTGCCATTATGAATGTCCCCCAAGTCTTTTGTTTTACCCCTAAAGGGTAAATTTTGAGAGGCCAAGAACAAGGTTACATCTAGTATCCTATTCAGAATAGCTCGATTTTTGTCTATTTCTGTTTGTATGAGCTTCTTCAGCTTGCTGTCTATTCCCCCAGGGACAGCTGCCATTACAGACTGTTGTAAGGTTTTCCATTTTAAGTAGCACTCCCTGTGTGCTTTGCTACTTTCGTGGTTAGGGAATTTATCATACATTCGACGCCATGTTATGTCTTTGATTTTATAACCATGTTGACTGCTTAGTGCGCTCATGCAAGGTTTCTTTAGCTCATGACCAAATAATACACAAGGAATACAAAATAGTGCATTTGTGCTTTGGCTGTAAATGACCCAGTCTCTCTTAATCTTTTCCCTGCAATTTCCTGACTTTGTGTACTTGAGGTATTCGGGGAAGGCTTTACCTTTTGAATCATGTGGCATTTCTTGTTCTTTATCTTTAGAAGAGGCTATTTTTTGCACAATCTTTTCTCTGTCTGCATTGCTAATTTTTGCTGGCCACAAACCAGGATCATTTGACACAACAGTCTCTTCTTCCTCTTCCTCTGAGTCTGCTCTCATGGCTTCCTCTGTTCTCTCATCTTCCTCTGAGTCTGCTCTCATGGCTTCCTCTGTTCTCTCATCTTCCTCTGAGTCTGCTCTTATGGCTTCCTCTGTTCTCTCATCTTCCTCTGAGTCTGCTCTTATGGCTTCCTCTGTTCTCTCATCTTCCTCTGAGTCTGCTCTTATGGCTTCCTCTGTTCTCTCATCTTCCTCTGAGTCTGCTCTTATGGCTTCCTCTGTTCTCTCATCTTCCTCTGAGTCTGCTCTCATGGCTTCCTCTGTTCTCTCATCTTCCTCTGAGTCTGCTCTCATGGCTTCCTCTGTTCTCTCATCTTCCTTCACACTTAGGGCTCCCTCTGTGCTCTCATATTCCACTATTCTCACCGCGTCCTCAACTTCCACACTCTTTCCTGGCAAAACTCTCTGTCTCTCTCTTGTTTCTGTGGGGTAAGGATAGCAAAATCATTTTTTTTCCCCAGTCAACAAGTTACAGCTTAGAATTCATATTTTCTTAACTGCATTGTTGAATAATATGAAATAGATAACTATACAACACAAGAAAAAAATTAGACAATCCAAAACAGTATTTTTTTGTATAGTTTTCTTAATATAAAAATATTAAAATATCTATTCTGTAAACTAATTATAGCCAATGGTTACCACAGACACATTTTTATTCCACTTTATATTATTTTTTCAAGGGGCATTTTATTCATATTAAGAACGTCAAGTTTGACAGCATCGATCGTAGCAGCAGCACTGTCACTTCACAGAACACACGGCAAACTGATTTTGTAATTTTTGAAGCGTGTAGATTACTTTTTGTTTAGTAAAGTTATCATCATGTGGAGAACACAGTAGATAAGACGTGCTTAGAGCTTTCAATCTTTGTGAAGTTTTGCGCTCAGGCTCACCTTGTTTGGCTGAGACGGGGACGGGGGCCGCGGGGGAAGGAAGACGTGGGTGTGCAGCGGCCGCTGAATCTGTGTCTACGAGACATGATAACCCGGAGACAGCAGAGATGTTATTATTGTTGGATGTAAATCATAATTCAGTAATTATTTTACTAAGCTAGCTAGATAAAAGCAGGTCATGTAGCAACAAAAATAAGTAAGTGAAATTTTTGGAATACAGGAATAGGGCAAGCTACCTTTCTTTTTGAAAAACTGTGTGACATACTGTCGACTTCGGTGTTCTCGGTCTTCTCTTTCCTTCTTTTCTTTCCGTTTTTGATGCCCTGACTTGTGATGTGACATGCCTGCGTGTGTCACTATCTGCACTGCATCATAACAAATGCAATAAGCAAGAGACGTTACGCTAAAGAGTGTAGCTCGGACAGCGCAGGTGGAATGAACCATTGTGAGGGGGGTGTGACTTAAACAGTAAATATATTATTTGTTAAATATTAAATCTATGGTCAAAACGGACAAAATACACAGTAAGTGTATGAGGGGCCCTAGCACATTTAACGTATGTATAAAAAAGAGAAAAGAAATAAGAAAAGAACAAGAGGGTCTGCTCTTCTGGGCCCTTAGAATCGTCCTAACCTTCCACCCCTTTACGGCGCCTATGCCTGTGAGCCTTTAGAGCCTGAAGTCATTTTACTGTGGGTTCAAACACTTCTTATTGTTCTTATTAAGAAGCATTTACAGATATTTCTCCCGGTGTTGTGTGCTCTCCCTTCTGTCTGTGCGCTGCAACACCGACATTTCCCCACTGTGGACCAATAAGGTTCTCTGATCTCATCTTAGAACAAAAGCCTCCCTCTGGTCTCTCTCCATAGGGAGTGATTATACAGTTATTATTTATAATTCTAAAACATGAAAAGACAAAGTCAACAGTCTCATCTCCTTTAAAGGAAGAGGGTTTCTCTGCTCTGTTCTAACTTTATGAAATCCACCTTTGCACAAGTGAACCCTTGATATGAAACAAAAGGTGAAGCACAGAAAGTGTAGAAGAGGAAAACTAAGAATCCATCACAGAAAAAAATCAAACACAGATGCAAGAAAAATGTCAACTTTTACTTTGTTCACAAACAACACATTTGAATTTTTAATAAACAATAACAATTAACAAAACAATAAATGAATTTTCAGAACGTCCAATAAACAACATTAAACAGTGAACACGATGCACACATATCCTCCAGTGGTCTCAGCACTTGTGGACGGACTGAAGTGAGATCCTGTAGAGTCTGAAGCCTAGTGTATACTTGCGCAGCGTGGCTTACGTTAGCGGTGGACCTACGTAAGCACAATGGATGTTATACTGACGCGTTCCCCTTACGGAGTTTTGAGGAGAATGTTGTAATCCCACAACAAACCACATGAGGGCGATCACACAGGAGCGGTTCCATTTACGCTGCTACGTTGTCAGCTAAACAACAATAACAAACAAAGCTGTTTGAGCTCATTACACGTGTTTCTACTGTAGGTTTATGTGATAGTTTTATGGATTCATTATTTTATAAGTCATTTCAACTGTGGTGCTGTGAATAAAGACAGATCTTGTTGGAAACATAGTTATTATTAAATAGTTTTCAGCACAAACAGCAAAACAATAATAGTGGTAAATATCTGAGACAAACATGAACGATTTACGAGTGCAGGAGGAAAGCAACAAACGCAGCTACGATTCAAACAAAGACAGGAACAGTGCAAAACAAACGACTGCACAGTTTATAAGTTATATATATGTTAGATAGTCCACAGTCTCCTGTATCAGGCTTTGAGCCCAAACTGCTTTTCCTTGGAAGCACAAAGCTCTCTGCTCCATAGTGCCTCGTCCATGTCCCTGCTGCAGCCGCTCCGTGCTTCCTTCCAATACACACACACGCACCCATCACAGCGGAGCTTCCTTGCGGCGACCCTTACGTAGTTAGAAAATTTCGATGCTGCGCGGCAGGCGACGTAAGAGCCTTGCGGTGACCAAAGCGTTGCGCAAGTGACGTCACGTCACCTCCGTAAGCTCCGCGCGAGTATAAACTAGGCTTGACTCTGGGCTCACAGGATACAGCCTCAGCTCTGTCTCCTTCACTTTGTTCCAGAGGCTTCAGAGCTGCTTCTCTGCAGGTTTTAATGTGTCCACGAAGATTTGACCTTTGTGTAAAAGACTTTCCACACTTTTCACAGACAAATGGTTTCTCTCCAGTGTGGATCCTCTGATGATCTTTGAGAGAACTACTGCGAGGAAACCTCTGACCACAATCTTCACAGCTGAAGGGTTTTTCTCCAGTGTGGATTCTTTGGTGATTGTTAAGATCTCCTCTTTGGGAAAAACTGTGTCCACACTGGTCACACTCGTACGGCTTCTCTCCAGTGTGGCTCCGATGGTGACGTGTGCGATCTGCTGCTGTTTTAAAAGTTTTTCTGCAGAAGTCACATGCAAATGGTTTTTCTCCAGTGTGGATTCTCTCATGTTTTTTGTAGCTGGAAGAGTGAGTAAACGTCTTCCCACAGTCTCCACAGACGAATGGTTTATCTCCAGTGTGGATTCTGTAGTGATCAGTGAGGTTAGATAAACGTGTAAAAGTCTTTTCACACTGGTCACATTGGTGAGGTTTCTCTCCTGTGTGGACATGCTGATGTAGTGAGAGTTGCTGTTTGATCCTAAATGTTTTTTCACACTGGTCACACTCAAATGGTTTCTCTCCTGTGTGGATCCTCTGATGATCTTTTAGAGTACTCTCTTCTCTAAAACTCTGATCACAATTGTCACAGCTGAAGGGTTTTTCTCCAGTGTGGATTCTGCTGTGGCGCTCGAGATGTTCTTTTCTAGTAAAACATGTTCCACACAGATCACACTTGTATGGTTTTTCTCCAGAGTGAGTTCTGTGGTGGGTCTTTAGATCAGAAGCAGAGCTGCAGGTCTTTCCACACTGATCACAGGAGAACACCATTCTGTAGATGGACTTTGTAGATCTACAAAAAACACAACAAAGACACGTCAAATAATTATAAAATGTTTTGACATTGATGGTGGTAGAAGTGAGAAATGACACAGTCGAGTGTGTTCACAGTAAAGTGTCAATTAAAGTATCTGGACTTTAAAAGGTTATAACTTAAAAACTAAAATTAATATCATGGATTAGATAAAATATTTCAAAACAGACACATTGGAGAGTGTGGATAAAATCAAAAAGGAAAGATTAAAATTTCGCCAAAATTATATTTTTCAAACGACCAAATCAGTCTCAGATTGGACCATTCTACTGTGATGCCAGAAAAGGACGTACACACACACACACACACACACACGTTTGTTGTACACACACACATACCGGTCTGTCGCGCTCGTCTGTGTCACGGAGCCGAAAGGATCCTCGCAAATATGCGGCTTCAGTCAAACCACATGAAACCTGTTTGTGCGGCTGGTCCTTGTCATTAGATCCACACACATCACTGCTTTTAAACTTTAGCGGAGACCTGCGAGACGCAGCTCGTCACTCGCTGCTCTGACCATGTGGACGAGCCGTTGTTTGCTGCTAAAAAGCAGTAACCCGCAGCACAGAAGAATGGGAAGATTAAAACAGCAAAGGTGCTGAAGCTGGTGCGGGTTTTGGCGCCGCTGTCTCGGCTCTGATCCAGTAGAACGTAGAGCTGCACTTATGAGAAGTACACGGCTCAACATGGCTGTTATTTCAAAGAATGTGGAATATTTTAAACTACGCGGTTAACCGGTTTCAACCAGTTAATGAGGCTCGGTGGTCGGTCATGACAATTCATAGTTTTTTACATCCCTAGTCCTGGGTCTACAGCCTCAGTCCTGGGTCTACAGCCTCAGTCCTGGGTCTACAGCCTCAGTCCTGGGTCTACAGCCTCAGTCCTGGGTCTAGAGCATAAGATAAGATAAGAGATCCTTTATTCGTCCCACAGTGATGAAATGTCGGTGTTGCAGCGCACAGACAGGACAGTAGTAAGAGACACAGGGAGCACACAAACTATACAAAATAAGTATCTATGTTTCTTAAAGGGCAACTCACCCTCAAATCCAATGTTTTTTTGCTGATAAACGGTATAAATGAGTGTCCAATAGTGTTGTGTACATATCCTGGTCATAATTTTGTCACTTGATCAACTTTCTTCCTAAAACCGTCTGTGAGGCGCCATCTGCAGGCAACCTGTAGTACTACATTTGAGTTTTGAATCTGGCGCCACCATTGGCGCAGCAGCAAAGGCCGACGTCAGCAGCACCGCCGCCCAGAGCTATATAAACGGCCCAGTCTCGTTCACGCCCCCGTAACGAGTTGGAGAAGGAAAAACAGTATTTTCATCGATTGTCAGGTTTGTGATTAGTTATAGCATTTAGGTAGA